GACTCAAGAAGCTGACTACTTCCCTTGATTCGACCTCTTAGACTAGGTCAACCCGACGTCAAGCCTTATTCCAAGTCGGTATAACTCAAGTGCTTACAATCTAAAATTTCTTATCCAACCTCTAATTGAAGCTCGCCTGATCAACTGACTCGAATTATTACCTGAAACTCTATAGAAGCTCAAGATGAAAGCTGCTGAGATCATTATACTATAGAATAATGCTATTTTGATATAACGACGTGTAAGTATTATAAATAGTTCATTTAAAGGTGTTGTGATGTGAAAAATTATAAGATCGTGATACAATCGTCTTATGTCTATCGTTATGTTGTATAGCAGGATCTTAGCTTCGGTCCGTTGCCCCGACCTCGGATGAGATACTGCTTTCTTTGCGCTCGGCGTATGCAAGGTAGGACTTAAATTATCAAAACTATATAGTGAAAGTCGGTCAATAACAGTAAGTCAATATTCCCAAAAGTCACGTGGCGGAGATGCATGACCGTGGAAACGTGATCCCATGCCTATGAAGTCTTTCTTACTATCGAAGTTATGACATTTTCATAGTAAAAAATTGGTTTTTTTATTTTTATTTTTATTTTTTTAATCTCCTTGTGTCGAAGCTACCTTCTTCGAAGCACACTAGTGTCAAACAATTTTGATAAAAAAAAAAGGTATAAAAATGAAAATTAGTCGAAAAAAATAAAAATAAAAATAATTGAGTAACACTACAATAACGAATTACCACAAACAGCATAACTATATATAAATTACGATTGAATCACAACCAGGGGCGTAGCCAGAGGTTGATTCACCCGGGCTCCAGCCCAGTCTTAATTTTTTGATTTATTTAAATATGTAGTACTAGAAAAATATTTTTTAACCCATGTATATACCAAATTGGTTCTAGCAGCCCAGTATAGAAAATATTTCTGGCTATGCTACTGATCACAACTTACAATATTTAGATTTGTGTAACACTTGGTGAATGTTGTAAGAATAGAGGAATGATAATGACAATGGTATTATATTTTAGTAAGTTTAAAGTATCACTAAACTCTTACTGACATATGATTATATTTCATAAATATAGCACCGTTCCATTATTGTTTCACAACCAACCATTTGATGTAAGATTTAATGTGAAAGTTGTACATAGTTTGACTTTATGTTTCTCTCATTTTTCCCCAACTGCTCGATCGTCTTACCGCTAGACGGTCGTTATTTTTTAATGGAAACTGAACATCTGTATTATAAAATATTATACATATATTTTTAAATTGATTTTTTAAATATAACATTTGAGTATGAAAGTGCTTATATTTTTTGAAAAAAATATAACTTAACTACTAAGCATATTAACAAAATAATTACTCCATTATTATCTTTACATTGAATAACA